ATAAAGGTAGTATAATAAAATAAAAGCATATTTTTAAATAAAAGATAATAATTATTACTTTAAATATTAACTATAGTAAAAGTTTATTTTAGTTATTATCTTAAATAAATAGATAAGGATAATAAATAAAAAGTATATGGCTATATTATATTAATTATGTAATGGAACTTAAACTATATTTAATATAAATTAATTAAATAGTAAACTAATATATTAAAAGAATATTATTTTAAATAAAAAAGCTAAAGTTATTATATTATTTAATAAAATATAATATATAATTAATTTATAGGCTATTATTAATTTTATAAAAAAATATAACTAGATTATATATATATTTCTATTTAAGTATATGTTAAAGTTAAATAATAATAAAACTGTTATATTAAAGAAAATATTTAATATAATGGATAATTTGTTAATAAAAGTTTTAGCTTATTTTTTATTTATTAAAGGGATATTAATAGCTATTATAAAAAATACTTATTAGGTATTAAAAGTAGTAAATAGTATAAAATATATTATAAAAGCTTTTATATTTAGCCTAAAATCTATAGTATATAAAATCACTTTTTAGCTTTTAATTATTTTTAAACTATTAAAAGCTATTTTAGTTTTTTTTATAAATATTAAGGATATCTAACTAAAAAGCTTACCTAAAAAAGTCTTATTAGTATTTCTTAAGAATATTATTATAGCTTAATTTAAACTGTTTAATTGCTATAGCTTTATTTTTATATTTATATTTATAATTATAAAGTATAAAGTATAAAGTTTAATTTTACTTTAAGTATTTTTTAGTTTAATAGTTAAAATAATATTTTATAAAAAAGCAAATTTTATAGTTATTTATATATAATTATTTACAGTTATTAGCCTTAATAAACTTAAGTTATTTTTAATTATTAACTAAAAGTATTAGATAAACCTTAAACTGCCTTTTAGAATAAAAGATAAAATTAAAAAGCTAGTAGAATTAAATAGGAAAATAGTTTAATAATATATTAAAAATATTAATAATTAAGCTTATAGCTATTATAATTTTAATTAAAAAATATTAAGTATTAAAACTAATAAAATTTATTATAAAAACTAATTTATAAGTAATAAAATATACTTTTAGCTAGGATAAGATATAATTTATATATTTTTATGTTTTCTTTAAAATTTCTTTATTTAAATATATCTTAATTATTTATTTTAGTAAAGCTATTATTTAATATCTTATTAAATCACATGGTAATTTAAAATAAATTTTTATAATATTATATGTAAATAAAAATTATAAACTATAAAGTTTATAAGCTATAAATCTTATATAAAATATAATAAAATTTAAAAAATAATAAAAAAATAATATAGCTTTTTTTTAATATTTTTCCAATAAAGGAATTAATTTTAATATTAAATATTAATATTTATTATATAATTATCTTTTCTTATTAAAGCTAAAATATAATTAATTTTGTAATTAAATTGTTTTGTTTTTAGTATATTATTAAGTATTTAAAAATAATATTAATTAATATTTATTCCGCTGCCGTTATACCCAAGCGGCATAGGCAGCGGAGTTCACAGCTTTAATGGTGGAGGAGGGGTGAAAGGAGGAGTAATGTTACCCCTTCGCTGCTTCAAAGCTAAAACACAAACGATCCACCACGTCAGCTATTTTTACTTTTAATTCCCTTAAGAATTAATAGATATCTATAAGGAGTAGCTTATTGTTTATGAAATTAGCGTTAGCAAAAAAGGGTGCAATTTAATTAAGGAAAGCAAATAGGATAAGGAAGTTATTATATATTCCAGGGGTAATCTAGGGAAAATTAAGTTAATAAAGATAAAAAAATAACAAAGAGTAATTAGATTACTTATAATATGGTAAGTTATTTTATAACCCCTATAAAGCTTATAAATAATTATACTAGGCAAAATAAAACAATAAAAGAATTTAATTAGGAGCCTATCCTTTATATCATACTTATTAACAACATATTAAAAGCACTTTATACATAAAACATCAGCAAAATATAACTCCTCTTAAAAAAATATAACATGCTTAATATTAAACATAGCAACAATAATAAAATTATAAAACAGTTACAAAAAAAGGTTAAAAAGGTTATAATAAAAAGATTATTAATTCACTAAGATTTATAATAATAACAAATAAATACCAATAGTAAAAGCCCTAAACAGCACTTTAAAAAGTACATTTTTAAACATGTTATTAACAAATACCTAAGCTAATACCAAGTAAAAATATTAAAGCTATTACTAAAAATAACTATTACTATACCAGCAAATAAGAAATAAACCACTATAACACCATAAAAAAGGTAATAGGCCCTAAAACCTATAAAAAGAAGGGACCCATCCACACTAATATATTATACTAATTTTCTTTTCTTTTTTACTTATTTCTATCAAAAGGATAAGCTCCTATAAATAAAAAGCTATAAACAATATAGTTGTATAACACAAACAAAATACTATTAAAGCAATATAAGTTTTCTTTAAATTATAATTCCTACCCAAACATTTACCAAACAACAACTCCATACACCCCACCTTTTAAAACAAGCAATAAGGGTAATCAATATAAGATTAATAATAATAATAATAATAATTAATATTTAAGTTATTATTTATATATAGCTTTATTTATTATATTTTTAAAATTAAATAATAACTATTTTAATATTAATTTAATATATATTTTAAGGATGCTTTACTATTAACTATTTAACCTTTATTCCTATATTATATAGTAAATATTATACTATTATTTTAAATAGCTTTTATTGTTAAAATCTTCTATCCTTTTTATCTAGTTAAATATAAACTATTATTAAAGTTCCTTGCTTTAAATAATAGCCTTAATTATAATTTAGCCTATTATATTTTTTACTTTTTAATTAATAATATATAAATTAGGTTAAAAAAAAATTAACCTTATTTTTTATTAATACTTATTTTTTAAGTTTTTATAAACTATATTATATATTTAAGTAATAATGTTTTATTTATTAATAAATATTATTTTTATAATTTAATATAAACCATTATTAATAATAAAAGCTTAATAAATATTTATTTATTATTTAAAATATTTAACTTTTATATTATAGCTTTATATTTTATTACTTTAAGTTTTACTTATTAGTTATTTCTTTATGGGAACCTATTATTGCTATTTTATAATTTTAATATTGCTTTAATTTTTACTTAAAAGTATAGTTTTATAAAAGTTAAAAGCTATAATATAATTATATTATATAATAAGTGTTATTATATAATATAAGCTATTAATGATATAAAAAAAGTATATATTATTTTATAAGCAAAGAAACCTTAGTTTATTAATAATTATATAAATTGGTATATTTAGTAATTAAATATAGCTAAAAAGATAGATAATATTAATAACCTTTTCTTTTTTTTATAAAAATATATATAGAATATTTAATATTAAGAAATTTATTATTATTCTTAAGTTATATAATACTTAATATGTTTTAATAATATATATGTTTTATTTAAAAAAAAAGAAACTTTATAAATTAGAAACGTTATTTTATAATTACCTCTTATATTAATTGTATAATATCTCCCTTAAATACCTTTTTATTTGCTTTATTTAAAATATCTTAAAAAATATTTTAATAAAACTTTTTAAAACTATAAAGCCTAGTTTAATTACTATTTATATATATAAAAATACTATTAATAATAAGTCTTTAATAACTTAAATTATTTAAGTTAATATGCTAAAATAAATCTTTATATTTATATTTATTACATTTATTTTTTTTAAGAAACATTTTTAATTTGTTATTAAAACTTTTTTAATAGCTATTACTAATAAAGCTATTTAAGATAATAAAAAGTTTAATAATAAAGATTTTAATTATAATTTTTAATTTGATTTAATTTTTATTAAATTAAAAAAAAGCTAAGTAAATAATAATAGTAATTATAATAATAACTTAAAATCTAACCGTTTTAATTATTTAATTAAAGAAAATTATATTTTAATTAAACCTTTTATATTTTTATTATTTAATTTTATAACTAGCTTTTTATTAACCTTTTAATGTAATATATAAAGTAATAATAATATAGTAACTTAAAATAACCTAGCTTTTAATCCTAAAGTTTTAAGATATAATGCTAATATTAAAGAAATTATTCTTTTAAAGCAAGTAAACTAAAATAGCCTTATATTTCTTAAATAATTCTTTATATAAATAATTAATTAGCTATAAATATTATATATTTTTTTTTATTATAATTATACCCATTAATTTTAGTGTTTTATAATAAAATATATATATATATTTATATAAAAGTATTTAATTAATAAAGTAAAAAAAAACTTTTAACTATTATATTAAATAATAAAATTAAACTATAAACTTTATATAATAAAAAAGTTAAATTAATGCTTTATATTATTAAGCTAATAAGCTTAATATAATAAGTAATAATATAAAAAACTTATAATAATTGCCTTTTTATTAAGATGTTTTGTTTATATTAGCTATTATATATATAAAGAATAATACTATATAATTTTATATAAAAATATATTATACTTATTATAAATGTATTTATAAAAAAAATTATAAAATAAAATAAGCCATATAATTTATATTATAACTAAAAAATTAAATTATTTAAAAAATAGGCTTTTTAAATAGGATAATTCTATAAAATTAACCTTTTTATTAGGTTATATTTTTATAGCAATTAAGAATTTTATTATTATTAAAGCTTTTATATCTTATTATATTTTATTAAAATTTATCTTACTTTTTTTAAAAGATATATAAAATGCTATTAGCTTTTAATTAAAGAATAATTAAGCCTAGTTTTCTTTATAATTAAGGTTTCTTTAAAAAAAATTAAAATAACTTATTATAAAACCTAAATATTTAAATCGATTAATAAATAATACTACTTACTTAATAAGTATTTTTTAACTACTTAATTTAATTTTAGGTGACTTAGTGTAATGGTTCCATGCCTGGTTTACCTTTGCCGTGATAACTATCTACCAGCAGGGAGGGGGTTCGAATCCTTTAGTTACTATAAATTTTATTTCCTAATAGAATTAAACCTTAATATTTAATAGTAAAAAGGGGAGCATTATTGTTATGCTATTAGCCCGGATTTATAATAAAGGCTAAATATTTTAAAGCTATATAGCTAAGAAGTTATTAAAGGTGTTAGTGCTAACCTAAAAAAGCTAAGGAATAAACTAATCGCATAAAGCTAATAAGTGAGGAACCTTATTTATCCTAAAAGACCTAAGCTAATAATATAAGGGGTATGCCTTTACCTTGTATTTATCTTTCTTTAAATAACTTATAACCGGTATGTAAGCAAAACTATTAAGTAAGCAAAAAGAAAAAACCAATATCGTAAATAAAAATAAAAAAGCATAATTAAGATATGCTTTACTGCTAACTCGTTACCGAATCGAAACTAAAATATCTTCTAATTAGTGGCTTTAAGTATTATATAGTAAGGTATAGGAGAACACGCTTAAAGGCAAAGAAAGGTAAAAATAAAGATGGAGAAAACAATTAAGCACCTTATAAAGAGGTTTTTTAGGCCAAAGGGCCTTTTCCCTACTTAAGAATAAATATTTAAATATAAACCTTAAACATAGCCATTAATATTCAGTAAGATGTTACTAGATTATAAATGGAACGTCATTAAGTAAAAGAATATATAGTAAAAAAAGTTATTTTATAGTAATTCCGCACATCTTGCCTGTAATTAAAGATAAAGAATTAAGTACTTAGCGTAAAGATAATAATAATTTAATTTTAAGCATTAAGAAAAACCCTTACTTTTTTATTAATTTATACTTAAAGCTATAAAAATATAGCTATTATTATTACTATAAATATAGCAAATATATATAATATATAATAGTATAATAATATATATATATAATAATATAATGTGGTTAATTATAGTATAACTAAAAGATTAAAAACTTAAGCTTTTATGTTGCTGCTTATAGCAGCTTTATGTTTTTATTAAAAGGTTTCTTAAGTAGTTTAAATTAACCTTATTATCTTTAGATTTATAAATTGCCTTAATAGAAAGGTTTGCTAAGAAATAAAACACCTTTAATAAAAATAAAAAGTTTTTTAAAATTATTTTTAAAACTTTTATATAAATATTGCATAAAAATCAGCTATTTAGATTTAATTTTTTTGCTTTTTTAAGAAATCCATTTATAAAGTTATAAATATTTAAAGTTTAAAAGAAAAGAAATTATATAATATCGCATAAGCTATATTTACTTTTGTTATTTTTTCTGCCACTTTTCTTACTATACTATTTTGCTATTATTTTAGCGAGCTTAAACTAAGGGTTTTAAAAATGTACCTTTTTAGCTACATTACTTTTTAATTAATTAAACCCTTGCTTTATGGGTTAAAAAGATTTTTAAAACTTTAGTTTAAGGTTAAATAACATAAATTTGCCTTTTACGAAACAATAAAATTAATAAATTTAATAAATTTAACGTTTAACGCGTTTAACGCGTTATATAATTAATTAAAATAAGTTAATTAATTGTAATATTAAATTAAAATAGCTAACAATTAATTTAAAACTAAGTATTTACACGCGTTATATGCGTTACACGCGTTTTACGTTATTTACCTATAAGGCAGTAAGCATTTACGTACCGTAATTAATTAAAATATTAACTGTCAGAGATAGGTGGGTCACGTGACTAGCATGTGACTCTTTAAGCAGCTATGTATGTATTTATATGCTTATTCGAGCTTAGGAGCTATGCTTTTTTCTTTTTAATCGATTATACCTTTTATTATATAAGAGATCTAGCATTACTTAATAACTATATAATAGTTATAAGCTTAGAAGCGTTAGCGTTGATGCTTTAAGGATTTTTTATATATAAATTTGTTTACTTATTTTTCTATTATTTAATTAAAAAAATAAACCATTATTTATTTAATTTATTATTTTATATAAGATTTTTTTATATACCAATCTTTTAATTATAAAGCGTAAAGAAAAGCCTTTAAAGCATATTAAGTGTATTGGTTAATATAACTTTTTAGAGTGGTATTATACTCTTTATTAATTTATAAACGATTAAGGCGTTTAGGAGTATATTAATTTAAATTAGCCTAACATTTTTATAATGTTTAAATAAAAGCCTACCTTTAAGTTTATTGCTAACGAGGAAAAACTTAAATAAGTTTAGTAATACCTTTAAGACTGCTTTAAATAGAACTGTTGTGTTAAAAAGAATAAATGAGTATAACTTAAGCGAATTAAGAATGAGAGGATTTAAGTAGTGCTTTTAAACTTGGATAAAGCTTATTTTATTGCTAAAGTGTAGTTATAAGGTATTTAGAGCTTAATATTGGTAATTAATATGTTTATAAAGACTAGTTTAATAACCTTAGTAGTTAAAAGTATTTTAGAGGTTTTTATGTTGTTTTTTTTTACTAGTAAGGAGATTAATAAGCTTTATAAGGCAGTTAAGAAGCATTATAAGGCTAATAAAGAGAATATTATAAACGTAAAGGTAAAATATGCTTATATTTTAGTCTAGATTTGGAAATTGGTTAATTATAAAATCTTAAATGTAATGTTTATTAAGATCTATTACTAGGGAAGGATTAATCTTAAGTTATTGGTTTTAATGCTTTATAGAGATTTTGTTCCTAGTAGTACTAGTATGTTTACGGCAATTTAGAAGTGATATTAAGAAATTTTTATAAAGGTTAAAGTGGTAAGCGTTTTACCTTAGGCTTAGTTATTTAAATTTGCTTAGGTTTATTGGTAAGTGAAAGCTTATAACCTTTTTAATATATATGGATTGTTAGGTATTAAGTAATTTTTAAAGGTTATTAAAAAATATTATTTATTAAGTTAGGTATAGAGCATATTTTAAGTAATTATGCTAGCAGATTAGCTAGGGTAATTAAGGCTTATATTAAACTAATAGATTATTACTTAATAGGGATAGGTTTAACTATAGGATATAAGCTTTAAAAAAAGCTTTAAGGGGTAGTTTATAATGCTTTATAAAGGGGATATTAAGCTTAATAAAGGGGGCAGTAAAGCTTTTAATAGGTTAAATAAATAAGCTTTTTATTATTGCCTTTATATTAATAAGCTTAGTTAAACTTATTATTAGTTAGCTAAAGGTTATGCTTTCTTTTAATTTATAATTATAGGTAAAATTAATTATATAATCTTTACTTTAAGCTAAAAGTGTTATAAGGAGATTTATATGCGTTGGAATATATTAGCTTAGAAATAGCTTAAAGCTTGTATTAAAGCCTAGGGATAAAAAGTAAAGGAAGTAAATAATGGTTAAAGCTTAGGAGGTAAGAAAAAGAAAAGCTTTAGGAATAAGGATTAGTTTAGTAATATTATAGTTATATTAATTAACCTAAGCCTTTTAAAACTAGCTTTAGTGATTATAAAGTAGTTTAAGTTAAATTATATTGTTTTAAGGGTTTTTATTACCTTTAAAATAAAGTGTTATTTTTTGTTTAAAAGTATTATACTAAATAATTATAGCTTTAAGAACCTAGTTAATGATAAGAAGCTTTTAGTATTTAGATCCTTTGTTTTGGTGGATAGGAATAAAGCTATTTAAGTAGGTACGATAAGCTTTTTAATCTTTAGGACAGGGAAATGTTTGCTTCCTAAGTATATTACTAAAAAGAGTGGTTTAAACCAATATAATTTAATCCTTAAGGAGGTGGTTATTATGGAAGGTTTTTATGTGAATATTATATTTAAGGCTAAGCTATATAAGAAAAGCATTTAGTATAATAGTTAGGATTATACTTTATAATATAAAGCTCCTAAAAAGAGTAAGGTAATTTAATAGTTAGAGTATAAATATAACCTAGTTTTTTTTAAATATAAGTCTTTTTTAGCTTATTTATTAGTTTTTTTTATTTTACCTATAATTATATTATTTAATATTTTAGTAAGCATAGTAGGTATGATAAGCATATTTAAGCTAATAGTAAGGTATATAATTAAGAAATTAACTATAAACCTACCTAATTTAAAAGCTAATACTAAAGATTTTTAGCATAAGAGATTAGGATATTTTAGACTAAAAGCTTTATGAGCATTAATTTATTACGTAAGGAACGTTAAGATTAAGGAAATAAAAAGGATTAAGTGTAAGCATTATATAATAACTTATACTAAAAAGATAATTAGTTAATGCTTGTTAGAAAGATATTTAATTAAACCTTTTTAAAAAGTGATATAAGATATCTTTATGTATAAGAAAGGATAGGAAAGATTATGTATACTTTTAGTGATTAAAAATGAATACTATAAAATGCTTTTTATTTATCCTTTATTAGAAAGGAGCAGTTTAGCTATTACTAAAATGCTTAGGGACTTTAAGAGTTAGGTTTAAAGGTAATTTTAAATTAATATTTATAAAATTAAAAGTAATAATAACACCTTAATACACTTATATTAAAAAGATATTAAGTATATATAATAGATATAACAAAAGAATATTAAGCTTAAATTTCCCCCTGCTTATATTTATAGGCCAATAGGTAAAATAAAGAAAGCAAAGCAGGAGGTAATTACCTATGCTTTTAAGATATAACTTAAAGTAGGTTTACCATTAAAATTATGGCTTAAGATTATTATAATAGCAGCCTGGTTAATTAATAGGAGCCTAAGCTTTACCTACTATATATATATATTAATAAAGGTAATAAATAATTAGTTTAGGCAATATTTTTACTTTTACTTCCTTAAGATCTTAAAAGCATTTATAAGTAACCTAAGACTAGATTAAAGTAAGATTTATACCTATAGGTGTAGAGCTTATTTATTAAAAGCAAATAGATAAAGAGATGTTACTTATAAAGCATTTAAGATAACTAGGAGAGCTTATATTAAATATTTTATAAAATATTAAGCTTTTAATCTATATAAAGTATAGATTCTTAAACTTAAGACAATAATTATTACTAAAGATATTTAATTTAATAAGGAGCTTTTTTATTTTTTAAATATTAAGTAAGTTAAATAGCTTATAT